CAGCCGAGTGTGAAGCAGCCGGGATGAGGATCAGTGCCTCCAAATCTGAGACCATGGTCTTGAGCTGGAAAAGGGTAGGATGCCTTCTCTGGGTTGGGGAGGAGGTCCTGCCCCAAGTGGAGGAGTTCAAGTATCTTAGGGTTTTGTCCACGAATGAGGGAAGAAGCCGGAGATTGACAGGCAGATTGGTGCTGCATCCAGTGATACGGGCACTATACCGGTCTGTCATGGTGAAGCGAGAGTTGAGCCAAAAGGCTGAGCTCTTGGTTTACCGGTCGGTCTATGCTCCAACCCTCATCTATGGTCACGAGCTTTGGGTAGTAACTGAAAGAACAAGATCACAGATAAGCGGCCAAAATGAGTTTCCTCTGCAGGGTGTCTGGGCTCTCCCTTAAGAGAAAGGGTGAGAAGTTCGGTCATCCAGGGGGCACTCGGAGTGGAGCCGCTGCTCCTCCACRTCGAGAGGAGCCAGTTGAGGTGGCTCGGGCATCTGCTTAGGATGCCTCCTGGACGGCTCCCTGGTGAGGTGCTCTGGGCACGTTCCACTGGGAGGAGACCCAGGACATGCTGGAGGGACTGTTTCTCTGCTGGCCAAGTAAGGGGTCTCTGCAGTAGGTTTTGTCCCGTGGGCGGAGACGGCCCTACTCGTGATTGGCAGAGGTTTCGATGTGGGCGGAGATGGCCCAAGAGACGTGATTGGTCAGATTGACGGTGGGGTTTGAGGTGGTTGGAGGCAGCGGGGAGTAGCTTGATCGAGTCAGGCAGGAAGCAACATGTTTTCTACGATTAATTTTAGTCATAACTTGAGAAAGGAAAGTACTAGCTGCACAAAATTTTAACGTCATACATGTGAAAGGATGTGTAACAATATGGCTTGTTAAAACATCCCTAACCAGCCTGTAAAAAGATGGCTAAAAATCAAAAAAAAAATTACAGGCTTTGAATGAAGGGGCTTTGAATCCCAACTACTCACCCACTCACAATCAGTTTTTATCATATTTTATTTTATTTTATTTTTGTTTAAGCAACCTCCCTCATATAAATTCACAGATAAATTAGTAGCGTGCTGTGCTAAATAAAGTTAAAGGAAATCTTTTTATTTAAAAAATTTTAAAGTCTTGTTTTGAGATCTCCTTTTACACATAATTGCAGTACTGGTCAAGGCAGATGGCTGCCCATCCTGAGCCCGGATCTTATGGAAGTTACTTCTATTAAAATAAAGTCATTCCTATTTACAGTCACCAATGTTTTCTCGGGAGGGGAGATTGTGACAAAGTGAGGATTCAGTGCAATCTGCTGATGTTGTTAGATAACTTATGCTAACTTACTTTTTGCTACAGTGGGGAAAATAAGTATTTAGTCAGTCACCAATTGTGCAAGTTCTCCCACTTAAAAAGATGAGAGAGGCCTGTAATTTACATCATAAGTAGACCTCAACTATGAGAGACAAAATGTGAAAAAATTTTTGAGAAAATAGTTTTGTCTGACTTTTAAAGAATTTTTTTTGCAAATAATGGTGGAAAATAAGTATTTGGTCAATAACAAAAGTTCATCTCAATACTTTGTTGTATATCCTTTGTTGGCAATGACAGAGGTCAAACGTTTTCTGTAAGTCTTCACAAGGTTGGCACACACTGTTGCTGGTATGTTGGCCCATTCCTCCATGCAGATCTCCTCTAGAGCAGTGATGTTTTGGGGCTGACGGCGGGCAACACGGACTTTCAACTCCCTCCAAAGGTTTTCGATGGGGTTGAGATCGGGAGACTGGCTAGGCCACTCCAGGAC